CGTTAAGAATTTCTAAGTGCGAGAATTTATAATTTATAAAAAACTGATCATACACGATTAAATTTAATTTTTTTTTTAGTTTTTTTTTGGCGAATATCTTATCTATTGAAATTATTTATAGTTTTAATATCGACTATTTTTGAAATAATCTAAAAAAAAAAGTTTTTCTTTAGATGATTCAATGATTTTTAAAATATATGATCAAATTTAAAGCATCCTGACACTATCCCTCATTTCATTTTAATCTGGTTTCATTTTTTTATTAAGGATCTATGCAAGTTAATTGGATGAAATCGATCTATTGCATAAACTCCTTAAACATCAGCTACCTATTAACCTGGGCTTGCATATTAGTCGACCTGAAAAAACGACTATCGATTTAAAGTTAAAAGTCATCAACTTGAGTCGAGTCACTAGCATCCCTAGTTTAACCACTGTGGTCAAGGTTATACGTCCAAATACTATCGCTATTGTAATTACAAAATTATCTATTACTATTAACCAAACAATATATGAATTATACAAAAGAGAATTCACTTTTAAAATATTGAGATGTAGTTAAAAGTAAAAATATTTAATTCTGATATCAAAAATGTACAACACAGCCTGAACCACTCTTTTGGTAAATAGTCATGGGATTAAAATTTTTTTATTACTTGATTAAGCGATCTGATTGGCCACGTACGTACGCTCGTGACAGCAACCCGTTTTTACACGTAAATATAATAATTAAAGTGAATACTAAACAGATTCATTTTAATATATGTTTTACATATATAGTCTACCCTCATTATAATGGATTCCGTTATAGCAGCAGGGGGGACATTCGATTCGATGCTTTCCGACGTTACACGAGTATTTATATAGGATGGTAGTATAAAACCAGAATTTTCGGATAAAAAGGTAGAGTTGAAGTACTGTCTATCGTATATTAGGAGGTATATAATAAAAATATGTTGTACTGCTTAATTCATAAAGTTCAACCTTTTTTTTTCTTATCTATTGTTATTTAAATAATTAACGCGTTGATTTTATTATAACTTTACAGACGTTTTCGAAAGTTGTATATTCTCTAGAAGATATTTAATTCAATAGAAGTTGTTTTATATGTACAATAGTATAGTTTGTTAATTATATAAAAGTATTAAGAATATTAATAATGAACGTGTAGCTTCTTATCAAAAACTTTTCTAATAAAGTTTCTATACTTGTAAATTGTTATTATAAGCTGGGTGAAGAGTTTTATTCTTCTCTATTTTACTTCGAAGTTAAACTATAGAAGAAATAATATATACGAGTTACACCTGTTGATTAGCGGCGTAGTTCATCTGTTTATATTATGTGCTAACAATATGGTTTCTGATTGATTGACTGCAGCATGAAAATCCCGTGCTTTTCCGAAAAATGAGAAGTCCCCTCCGCTATACATACGTACGTACGTACGTACGTACAGTACGTAAATAATTTTTTAAATTGTGTTACTCATTTTTACCTTTGCCAAATATACATATTTGGATATTCATAAAGCACCCATCACGAGGATCTTACCAAATTATGCAAATTCCTTATTTGGTTTTAGGTTTTAGTATAGTTGGTCGCAGAATTAATTTGGCAAATTAATACGTCAACGGCATGCGCCATATTATTTGCCGTAATTCTTTAGTGCCATAATGCTGTAATGCCATAATGCCGTAATACCTCAATGCTGTAATGCCATAGTGTCGAAATACTGTAACGCAGTAAAAATATCAGTGAACTTTCAAATTGGGTTTGTAAAATGCATCCTCAATTTAGTGACTAAAAATTATTACGTTTTTATTACGTTTATGTATAATTTAAGGGATAAATTTTGGATCGTTATATATACAATATTGGGGGTGCCCTAATTTCCCCACCACTTCTGATATGCTGTACTAATTATTCATTTATCAGGTCCAACCAAATTTCACGATCAGGTGTAACGTAAAAGAAACGCAAAAAAAATGTAAAAATTAAAAATCGCCCATAACTCTAAATTCAATATATAAAACTGTCTTCTACACACTAATAAAAAATTTTCCTTGTCACTGATCCAAAGAAAAGGTAAAACGGCATTAGACGTATTCTACGAATAAACGCAAGTGCACCCTGCAAATACACAATCCTGAGCAAAGCATACTCTGGTTAACGATCGTCATGTAAATTTTGAAACCAGATCAATACCAGAATCGTCAACATATGTTAGGTAAATGCATAGCATTGTTTGTCCGGAGTAATGAGGTAAAAGATTTAAATTTTTTCTTGTTTTATGCACCGTATCCAGGGACCCCAAAAATTTCGAAAAGATTAGAAAACAATAAATCGCAATTTTTAGTGAATTTTGCTCTATAAACAATATTACGACTTTTTTATGCATTGTAAGTTGTATGAAAATTTGATTGGCTAGCTATTTTATTACACCAATCATATTTGCGTATTTAGTGTAACCATATGTACTGACAGCCACTTTTTAAAGTTCTGTTGTAGACTATGAATAAACATCGAATTTTAATCGGCAAAAAATGACATCAA